GGGGGGGGGGGGGGGGGGGTAGGAATTCATGAGCACACCATCAGCCTCAGATTGTTACTATTAAAGATGACTATTTCCAGCTACTGAAGTAAAAAATGATTTTTTTTACCTTTCACAGTCACACACAAAAAGCACCCGTAATGATCACAGGTTTTGTTGAGGATCATGGAGATGTTGAAGAAAACCCACTTCTGTTGTGTAGCAAGTTTTTTTAAATCAATAGTTTATAGAATTTCAAGTGAAGAAAAAATTTATCATTACTCGATTGCCTTTGGTCTCTAGGAGCCTCAGTACGCTTTTTGAAAGCAGGCATTTCTACAGGAGGTGCTGTACTTGATGGTCTTCCTCCTCGATCTGGTACCTTCAAAAACAAGCACACCACAAATACAGAACTCACTACAGTTGATTTAAAAAAATTCTTATTTCTAGTCTGGCAAGTATAAACATGGGTTAAATTTGATCTAAAGTTCAGGCTATCTGGCTAAAAAGTCACTCCTATATAACTTTAACCTTAATTTTATTTTCAATCCAAAACCAAGTCATGTTGACAGAGACGATTCATCATTTGAACTTTTAATTTATCTGCAGACAAATCCCAGAGTGTTTGAACCCCAGAACGTCTTCATTGTACTATTTACTTTGTAGCATTTTACATTGTATTATATTATTTTATCAAATTTGGATTTTATTAGTGAATTCCCACTTTAACCACTTGTGACTGAAAAGGTTAATGAACTCTCTTAAGCCCCTGCACAGGAAAAAATAACGGATTCCCATTTTTGGATATTTTTGGGTATTTAAAGAATACCCACAAAAATCCCAAATTTGGAAGAGTGAGACAAGTCCCAATCTGGGAACTTAGTTGGGAATTCCCTGGTTGGGACTTGTCTCACTTTGCCAAATTTGGGATTTTTATGGGTATTCTGTAAATACCCAAAAATATCCAAAAATGGGAATCCGTTATTTTTTCCTGTGCTGCAGTGACCAGCATCAATTTCCTTCTCATAATAATCAAAACACAATCAAGTAGAAAGGTTACAATAATTAATAAATTAATCACCACAGAGAAAAGTAATGCTAAAAATAATCTTTTGACATACAATCGTATTCTCTCACCTAAATTTTCAAACAAATGTATAAAGATCAGTCTGGAGATCGGGAGTTTGTAATCATTGAATCTAACTGGGGCTTGAAGGGTCAAAGAAGCTCATTCACTGCACTTAACTTACTTTGCCGATCATAATCTTGTTGATTTTGCACTGTGTTCTGTCCCTGATGTCTGCACTACTTGTTTTTGTCACCCTTAAAAGATCTGCCAGAAAACATAACTGATTACAGGAAGGAATAATGCATGCAATTAGGGAGGGTGTATCACATGAGCTGCTGAAATTTTGTTCCAAGGGGAAAAAACCGGCATAAGGTTGTGTTACATATTAATTGTGTTAAATAATTATTAATTAATTTCAATGTATCTCTTTAGGCATTCTAGATGTCTCCAACCAAGTGGTATGCCTGTGGAAGCTTGTCGAGGAATTGAAACTACAAAACTAGACAAAAATCATAAAGAGTCTTTTTGATGGCCCATAAATTACCTTTCAACACAATCTGTTCAATATAATTATATTAGATAATAATTATTTATTTATTGTTTTACATTTTAGATATTATAAAATTCATATCACTCACACCTGTTCTAGCTGCAACAATATCTGGAATGCTGACTGGTGATCCTTCAGAAAGAGATTTTCTCAAAGGCTGAAAAGCTGCAGCTATTTCATCTTTCTTTACCTAATGGCAAGAAACAACAGCATCACCAGGAGCAACCATAGAACACAAGTGCCACACAACAACAATAATACAACAATTTTATTCTTTTATGCCCTAGCAGTTAAACAGCTTGCCACACTGATGCAAGAAATAACAAGTAAATGCTAATGCAAAATAGTTTATTTCAATAGAAGTAGAATGATTTTATTTTAATCGATTATACTGATAACCCATAAAAGTTTTCCAATACACTCATGCAAATACCTCTAACCAAAAACAACAAGCTTTATTTGCAGGATCATACAAGTAGAACAGTACTATCTGTCTATTACAGAGCTATTTACCACAAAAAAAATTACCAAAAAGCCAGTTTTCCTTGAGGTCTTCAATGAATGAGAGCAATATTATTTTTATTACCTCGATCAAGGGGTAGCATGGCCAAGTCAGGGCTGTGCTCTAGCAGAGCCCAGCCCTGGCACCCAACTTTTGCTCTCAGGCTACTAGAAGATACTGGTTTTTTCATACAAATCATATTCCTGGTCACCTTTGATTTTCTCTCATCCTCTCATACTGATGGGCTCCAGTCAATTTTCCTTCAAGAGCACAACCTTGCAAGTGTATTGGACTTGCAATCACACTGTCCCAGAGACTGTCAAATCCTGCGTACTTCCTACCCTAAATTCTAATAGGTGGTATAGGTTTTCATGGTGTAATGGCATAACTGTTTCCCAATAATAATACTGATCCCGTATTCAGGTCTTAACTACCTATTAAGTAATGTTTTCTTCTTTTTTTCCCTTATAGATTATTTCCTAGTACTGGATCTTTTCTCTGAGTTCCCAAGGTTAGACAGCAGGACATGTATATTTCTAATAATTGCATAATAAACCAAACTAACAAAGTAATATAGTCTAAGGTAATTGGCAAACCTTAGCTCTGTCAGACCAACCAAAGGACTGCACTGTCACATCCAATCTCTTCAACAACATTGACCGACGAAGTGTGTATTCCTGATTTAACTGCGAGTTGATTTCTTCCACTTTACTCTAAAAGTAAACATAGAACAATAATATTTTTATTAATAGATTGATTCTGCAAAGGCTTGATTTTTTTGCACAAATATCCACCAAATCTGGGCATTTGGGATGGACTCTGGAGGTTCAAACTTCAACTGTTAACTGCATAGCAAGCATTTCTGTGTGGTTTCGGAGAAAAGAATGAGGAATGAGTGTCATAAAAAAAACATAGGGCAAGCAAAAGAGCAGGGAGGGGGTGAGGAAGAAAGGAAGAACACTCCTTCCCCTCCCCCTTCCCCTCCTTCATTTTTTGACTCTAGTTCCATTTTTTGCGCCACTGAAACGGAAAATCCCATTC